CACGCTTGGTAGAAACTCGCCGTATCATGCGGCTCACCTGTTCGCTGGTACGTCTGAGGCCTGCTATTGTGCCCTTTGGATCCAAGGACGATGTGAGGTGAAGGCCAAGAACCCGAATATTTTGCACTAACGGGACGGGCCCGGACGGAAGAAAAGTTTGAGGCGGCGGTAGCGGAGAGACTGAAAGAAGAGCCGATTTAGCTGGAGAGCACTCCAGGCCGCATGAACCTGCGTAGGTGTCCACCAGAAGGGCAGCCTTTTGCAGGCGTTCTTCGACTTGCGCTAAGGAGCCGCTGTTGGTCCAGATTGTGATATCGTCCGCATATAGTGCGTCTTGTATTCCCTCGACCTCGCTTAGAAGAGAGGGGAGGTTCATCATCGCCAGGTTAAAAAGCAGAGGAGACAGGACTGCCCCTTGAGGTGTACCCCGCGTGCCTAATAAGTACGGGCCGTGTTCGGTAGAATTAAGGCGGATGAAGGCGGTGCGATGTGATAGAAAGGTGCAAATGTAGTTGAAAGTCTTCTGCCCGCAGTTTGTGGCAGACAGGTTAGTGAGTATAGTGCTGTGTTTGACGTTGTCGAACGCCCCGCGGAGATCGAGAGCGAGCACGGCTTTATCGTTATGGCGCATAGTAGTCGGCTCTATAATATCGTGTAGAAACTGGAGCAGGACGTCCTGCGCTGACCGATGCGAGCGAAAGCCAAACATCGTGTCGGCAAAGGTCTTCCTGGCCTCCAAGTAGGCGGAAAGGCTTTCGCGAACCATGGTTTCCATGAGTTTGCCTGCGCAAGACGTAAGTGAGATGGGTCTCAGTGCCTCAATACTAACGGACTTTGCCGATTTGGGAATGAATGCCACGACCGATGTGGTCCATTCCGTTGGAAGCGGAGAGCCGTCCCATATCGAATTTATAAGGTGGAGTAGCGAGAGGTGTGCTTGGTCGGGAAGATTTGCCAGGAGCGATACTGTGATTCCGTCGCGTCCAGGGGCCGTGCCCCGCCTTATTTTCGTGAGTGCCAATCGTAAATCAGAAAGCGTGTATGGGGCGTCGAGGTCGGTGTTAGGGGCGCCGGAATACATATATGCTGGGCCTGCGGGATCAATTGTGCGGCAGATGTAGCGGTCACAATGTTCTCGCGCGAGTTCATCCGTGGTGCCCTGAAAGGCATGCAGAACACAGTGGAGCTGGCGTTGCGTTTCTCCCCTGGTGGTGGACGGATCGAGAAGGCTTCTAAAGAGTCGCCACGCACTCTTAGAGCTCATCTGGTTTGCAGCCTTCGAACAGGTGTCTGCCCAGTTAGCATCGGAAAGTTGTTGTACGGAGTATGCGGCCGCCTCTGCAATGAGCGCCTCAATGCGAGTGCAAAGTTTCCGATTAAGTTTGTTGCGTTTCCAGCGCCTTATGAGCCCGCGGCGAGCGTGCCAAAGATGTAGGACGTGTGGATCAATTGCAGGAGTCAAATTATAGGTTGCAAGGGTGCGAGTGTTCGCTTGTTTCATATGAAGAGCGTATGATGCCCACGCTGCATATTCGGTCGAGGAGAGGACGGCGGAGAATGGTTGCATTCTGAACTGAGTCCAATCGGTGAGACGGGCTTGGCCCCAGTGTTGGCGCATTTTCTGCCTTGGTGTGAACGAAATGCGGAGTGAAAAGTGATCGCTGCCTAGGGTTTCGCCTAAATTTGCCCATGTAACATCGCGGATGTGACGGGTGAGGGAGAGGTCGGGGCATGTGTCTCGCGTGACCGAGTTGCCGGAACGTGTGGGTTTCATTTCATTTCATTTCATTTATTCCACCTTAAAGGCCCGGAGGCATTACATAAGGGGGGGCGGCGTACAAGGTATGTCGAACAACTCAACAAAACTCGAAGGGTTCCAAAACGTAAACATTCAAAGAACAATGAAAAAAAAAAGGTACAATATGCAAAGTAAAACGCCAATATTACCAAATGCAAATAAAAAAGTAATGGTACAAAGGTAAGCTTCCAGAGAAAAGTGACGACAGTTTATACATTAGTTAAAAAAAAGTATTTAAACATTGGCAGGGGAAACAGCACATTCAGTTAGATTGCGACATGTGACATTTTAGCTTACTGCGGAAAATTTGGCGGTTATTACACGTGACTATATTATCAGGTAGTTTATTCCACAGTGTTATCCCATTGGGAAAGAAGGAAGTAATCATTGCAGAAGTGTGTCCATTTATTGGTGCGATAGGGTGACTGTGGTTTATGCGGGATGAAGTTCTGTGTGATGGTTGAAGGAGGACGTGCCGTGATTGAGGGTGATAATAGAAAGCATGCATCAGACACAATCGAGAAATGATACGACGAGATTCGAGGGACGGCAGTTTCAATGATTCTTTTAGTGCAGTAACGCTGATATCGTTAGAGTATTGGGAGTAAATAAAACGGGCAGCGCGGTTCTGAATCCTTTCTAAATCGTTAGTTAGATATGTTTGTGAGGGTTGCCAAATTGAGCAAGCATATTCTAGTTTCGGTCGGACGTACGTTTCATAAGCTAATTTTTTAATGTCTGGTGAGGCTAATTTTAGGTTGCGGCGCAGGTATCCGAGAGTGCGTGAAGCTTCTGAACAGATTATTTGAATATGGGTTGACCAGGATAGCAACGATGACAGATGCACTCCGAGGTATTTGTATGATAGGGTAGGGCTAATGGGAACAGACTTTATGCTATAGGTAAATTTTTCTGGGCTCTTTTTGCGGGTGAATGACATAATTTTACACTTAGTTAGGTTTAACGGCATTAGTGACTTATCACACCAAGTTACAATTAAATTTAAATCATGTTGAAGTTTAATGCTGTCGTCTGGTGTACAGATTGGAGAGTATAAAACGCAGTCATCGGCAAAAAGTCTTAATTTGGTTAGCACATTGGTGGGTAAGTCATTTATGTATATTAGAAAAAGGAGCGGGGAGAGACAGGCACCTTGGGGGACGCCGGACGTTACGTCGGAAAGAGGTGAGTCGTGGTCATTAGCGCTGGTGAACTGCTTACGGTTTTTTAGAAAATTTTCTATCCAGAAAATTATGTTGGGAGGGATTCCAAGGTTGCATAGTTTAGAGAGTAAGAGGTTATGAGGAACACGGTCGAATGCTTTAGAGAAATCTAAAAATATGGCGTCAGTTTGAAGATTTTCATCCATGAAGTGAAGAATATCATGTGTGAATTCGGCCAGTTGTGTTTCGCATGATAGTTGTTTCCGGAAACCATGTTGGTGATCGAAGAAAAATTTGATGGATTCCAGATATGTCATTAGGTTTGAAGCTATAATATGTTCGAGCATTTTAGATGGGATGCTGGTTAAGGAAATAGGTCGGTAGTTAGCTGGGATTGCGCGGTTGCCTGATTTAAAGATGGGAATAACCTGAGCTTTCTTCCAATCGTCTGGGACGTTTCCTGTTTGTAATGATTGTGTGAAGATTAGGCAAAGTATTTGGCTTGAGACAGAAACGGTATTTTTTAGTAATTTACTGTTAATACTGTCGCAGCCCGCCGAGGATGAAACTTTAAGATTGTTAATGAGTAGGAATATTCCTTCTGGGGTAATTTCAATTTCTGGCATCGCTACAGCTGCAGATTCGGGCAGTGTTACGGTATCAGTGGTGTTGGCAGAGGAAAACACAGACGTAAAGTGGTCATTTAAAGCAGAAGCGCACTGGTCAGCGTGTATTGGTTCTCCGTCAGCGTTAGTGAGGCTTATTCGATTAGATTGTGACTTGGGGGACAGCATGCGCCAAAATTTGCTGGGATTTGATTGAAGAATTGATAGTAGGTCATGGGAAAAGAATTTGATTTTTGCAGCTTTTAGTTCGGTTAAGTACTGATTAGCGCACGCGCGGTAGCGCTCCCACGCAGTTGAACTTTGGCTTAGGCGGGCCGTTCTGTACAAGCGTTTCTTTCGGTTACAGAGTAATTTTAGCTGTTTGTTAAACCATTGGCAGTTTGAATCTGATTTAATGAGGGTAGAAGGAATGTATTTGTTTTTGAGGTTAAGCATTGTAGTCTTAAAAAGTTCCCAGTTACAGTTGACACTTCGTTTTAGGTGCGTATTCCTAAAGTTTTCTAAGAAGTTGGCGAGTTCGTGATTAATCGCATCAAAATTTGCTCTCTTGTAATCCGTGATTACTTTCCGTGTGGGTGATTTCTTTTTAAGCGGGGAGGCGATGCAAATATGGATTAGGTTGTGGTCACTAAGACCAGGGAGCGTATTAATGGTTTTTATGTCGTCAGGGCTCGAAGTTAGCAGGAGGTCTAGTATGTTATTGCCCCTGGTAGGGCACGTAATAGCCTGGTGAAGGTTAAAATCAAGGGCAGTGTTTAAAAATTGTTGCTCTTTAGATGATGTCCCATTCGACGCTGAAAGCAACGACCAACTGATTGAAGGATAATTGAAGTCCCCAAACAAAAATATAGGTGCATTAGAATGTTTATTTGTAATGGTGTGGAGGGATTGATGAAGTAGGTCGCAGAAGTCGGGGTGGCTGTCTGGCGGCCTATAGCAGACGCCAAAAACAAATTTCGAGGCTCCGTTGGAGACAAGAACCCAGATTAATTCTATTTTATCGTCATGGAAAATAAGTGAGGATGCTAGAGTGTTTTTAATAGCTATGAGCACGCCACCTCCTTTCTTACTTTTGCGATCCCGGCGAAAAATTGTAAAATTTAAATTGGATGGGGATGCCGCCAGGGGGCCAGAGGGTGCGGACGCGTTTCACGTCGGTTCCGCGGATGTTTTATGTTTGTGGCAGAAATTCAGATCTTCGATCAACGGCATTCTACTCAGCAGTTTCTGGAAGGTCAGCGAATCCTGCCTATATCAAGTTTTTCGGAGGTGAGCCGCTTTTCTGGACACTGTAGCTCATTTATTGCGGTGCCACACTGGCACACGAACTAAGCCTAACGCAGCACCGGTAGACGCCGTCGCTCGCGCTGCAGACGCGGCCGGCGTCTATGCCGAACCTAGCGAGCAGTGCGACGCCCCTTTGCTACTCGCTTAACGGCTTTATCCTCGACTGCAATGGAAGTTGTTCACGTAGACGGTGAAGAAATATCGCCGACAGATGTCCGCAAGGAGAATGGCTGGCTCGAGGTTCGGGCCAAATACAAGGAACGCAAGGCGCGCGTCGCGGGCACTGACCCTGCTGCGCAGACCGCTGACGCGCTCAACGATGATGAAGCGTTTGTCAAAAGAGCAGCCAGAAACGTGCGACGACTCAGCATGGCGACCAAAAAACCGAATCTGCCGGTGGACGACATCAAGGTCATCGTACGCCCTAGAGATGGCTTCAGCACCAGGACACATCGTGCTGCTCGGATCGGCGACAGCATACGTGCCGCTGCCGGACTGAACCAAGAGGAAACCAGAGGCGATATCTTTCGCGTAAACGAAAGACAGAATATTGTAGTAGTGAGCACTCCATCGGAAGAGAGAGCCAGAAGATATTGTGAAATTTCCAAGCTAACCATGGGAGACAAAGATTACGCAGCGAGGGCATATGCAGCCGCGCCGGAAAATACAACCAAGGGCATCATCCGTGGGATTCCCGACGAAGATTCTCCTGAGGATATTGAGAGACACCTCGTCAACGAGCACAACCCTTCGTTATTGCACGCGAAGAGGATGGGAAGCACGGCACACGCTATCGTCGTATTCGAAGGAAGTGTAGTGCCGCGCTACATATACTACAACGGAACGGAGCACCGCTGCGTGCTCTACAAGAAACAGTACGAGACGTGCTACGCTTGCGGCCGACTTGGACATCGATCCGACGTTTGCCCCAACCCAGAGAGTAGAAGATGCAGAGGCTGTGGCTGTGATGATCCACCGCAAGACCACTGTTGTGAGCCCAGATGTCGACTTTGCGGCAAGGACCACCCTACCGGAGACAGAAAATGCCAAGCCAAGTACAGAACTCCTTACATAGTGAAGAAACGCCAGTGGGAAAGAAGGCAACGTGAGGAGGACGCAGACAAGAGCTATAGGGTGTACGGCGAAAGTGGACACGCCTGTTCGGCGCTGCGTGGGGAGAGACGAGGCCGATCCGCCTCGCGTTCTCGCTCCCGCTCCCGGTCCCGGTCTCACTCCCGCTCTCGGTCGAGGAACGCCGAGCGCCAACGAGCCAAGGACAGACCTAAGTCCCAGGGCACGTCTCCCGCCAGTACCGACACTACAGCGACGCGAGCTGCCGGACCCGGTGGTAACGACAGTCTACCCAAAGCCTCCAAGGTGAGCTGGGCGGCAGCCGCCTCCGGCGAGCGTGCGCGGTCTGGCACTGCCTTTTCTAACAGTGAAGGTCAACACGACATGATCATGCAAATTCAAAAACGACTCGAGCAATTGGAGAGAGATAACATTAGATACAAAAACGTAATTGAGGAACTCAGGGAGGAAAATGCTAGTCTAAAAAATGAGGTAGCTAAAAAGGGCGGAACGATCCGATTGCAGGACAATCCAGGGGAGGTACTATCTAAGGATGAAACGGTGCCGACCCCCTCGAAACGCAGGGCAGTTGAAGTGGACCCGGCGCAAGCCGAAATTCAAACACATAAAACAGAGGAAAGGGATAGGAAACGGCACGATGTCGAAGACGACATAAGCATAGTCAGGAAAGAAATAGAGGATGAAAAGATCACGCGTAAAGCAGAAATGGAACGAATGCTTAGCCAGCTTACAGGCGCGATGCAGCAGATAACAACTACAATGCAGCAAATACAGCAACAACTCGCCACCCTGCAGATGAGGGTTGAAAACAACGAGCGAAGGTTACCAGCTAGCAGCTGCGGGCCCCTCAAACAGACTGGGAAACCGTACCACAGACCAGTGGACACAGAGACTAGGGAGAACACTGGCAAATATTAATTTTACTATCATCATGGCTACTCACAATACTAAAAATTACGTAATTTGGCAATGGAATTGTAGAGGATACGCTAGAAAGCGGGGACATCTTCAACAGTACCTGATTAACAAGGAGAAGCCAGATGTGATACTTCTACAGGAAACTAACGTTAAAGCTAAGTTATCCGGTTACAGGTCATTTCAGGATAGCGCTCCTCGGGACAAACCGGCCGTCGCGACGCTAGTCAAACGTAACCTAACCGTAACGCAGCATGAGATAAAGGTAAACGCGATACCACACCTGTTGGTGGAGATAGTACCTCCAAAGAATCGAGACAATAGTCTTTTCATTCTTAATGTGTATAGTAGCCCTCGACTTAAGCACCGCTTCCGCGCGCTACTCAAGAAGGCGGCCGGCATCGCGGGGACCCGAGCGCTCCTCGTAGCGGGAGACTTTAACGCTCATCATTCCGCATGGGGCTACAAATACGAAAACCTGAAAGGCAAAAACCTATGGGAGGATGCTCTACTGGAGGGTCTCACTCTCATTACCGACCCCTCCGCGCCTACGCGACAAGGAAATAGTGTTTGTGCTGATACGTCACCAGATCTCGCGTTCGTTAAAAACATAACAAACGTATGCTGGACGAATACACAGGAGGATTGGGCAGTGATCACACTATTGTAGAAATTCGTGCCATTGCGGGGCCGTGCAAAAAGAAAAGCAAGCTACTAAAACTTGTAGAGTGGGACAAGTTTAGGCAAAACAGGGAAAATAGGATTGACTCCTCGGAAAATATCGAAGATATAGAAAAGTGGACATCAATGCTGAGGCAAGATGTCGCGGCAGCAACGCATGAGGTCCCTCCTGAAGCAAACCTCCAGGTCCTAGATAGTAAGCTTCTGCATATGTGGGAGGCTAAACGTAGCTACAAGCCCGGTGGAAAGTACAACGACACAATAGGACTTTACGTAGGCGAATAGCTAAACTGAATAGAGACATCGAGGAATACGCTTTACAGCTTTGCAAGTCACAGTGGGAAGAGACGTGTAATAGCATGGATAGCCGGGTAGGGTTCACCAAGGCGTGGAATCTCCTCAGGTTCCTGCTGGATCCAGAGGAGACTAAAACAGCATATAGGCAAAATGTCAACAAGATAATCAACGTCTACAAAGGCACCCACGCAGAACTCTTGCATGAACTCAGGATGAGATACACTAATCCGACTAGACCCGTGCTCCACTCTGAATACAAAGGCACTGCGAACGAGTGCTTGGACAGACCTTTCAGCATTGCTGAAGTACGCGCGGTGCTGCACAGGCTCAACACGAAATCATCGCCCGGACCAGACGGGGTTACGAACAAAACGCTTCGGAATCTAGATGACACATCGATAGAGCACCTCACGGTTTTCCTTAACGAATGCTGGGAAAAGGGACGTATTCCCCGACAGTGGAAAACCGCCCGCATCGTTATGATACCCAAACCAGGAAAGCGCATACAGCTGGAAAATCTAAGGCCGATATCGCTGACGTCCTGCGTTGGTAAGGTCATGGAGCACGTGGTCCTCGCGAGACTAACAAACTTTCTCGAGGACCACGATCTGATTCCTCACACCATGCTGGGCTTCAGGAAGAGCCTCTCCACGCAGGACGCCATGCTACACTCAAGCACCAGGTAATAGACAGCATGACCACTTCTACCAAAGCAATCTTAGGCCTAGATTTAAAGAAGGCGTTTGATAATGTCAAGCACTCGACTATACTTACCCGAATAATAGAACTAGGACTCGGTAAAAGGACGTACGACTACGTCCGTGATTTTCTAACGGACAGGACAGCGAGGATCACATTGGGAGAATTAGAGTCAGGAGAGATAGAGATGGGCAGCGCCGGCACTCCTCAGGGTTCGGTGATTTCGCCCTTGCTCTTTAACCTCGCACTCATAGGGTTACCAGCTAAATTAGAAGAGATTGACGGGCTCTCCCACAGTCTGTACGCAGACGACATTACTCTGTGGGTAACTCGGGGATGTGACGGCCAAATAGAACAGACGCTACAGCGAGCCATCGATACGGTTCAAAGATTCCTAGAGGACACGGGCCTCACCTGCTCGGCTGAGAATCGGAGCTACTGGTTTACAGACCTACGCGCAGAGGTCGAAAACCCAAATACAGCGAACAAAGCGCAAATCACGCAGAGGAAGCGATACAGCTAACGACCTCGGAAGGCCACGTCATTCCCAAAGTAGACGTTATACGCGTATTAGGCTTGTATATTTGCAGCCAATGGCCACAATGGCGAAACTGTTCGCAGGTTGGAACACGCGGTAAATCAGACAATCCGACTTCTAAAACGAATTACGAACCGACATAGTGGTATGAAAGAAGGGAACACTATTAGACTTGTGCAAGCCTTTGTCCTCAGTAGAATCACGTACGTTGCCTCTTACTTGAATTGGCACGTCGCCGAGAAGATAAAATTAGATTGCTTAATCAGGAAAGTGTATAAGCAAGCTTTATGCTTACCCATGAACACAAGCACAGTGAAATTATTAGAACTAGGCTTGCACAACACGCTTGATGAATTAATAGAAGCGCACAACGTAGCACAGTATGAACGACTTTCTAAGACTAAAACGGGCAGGTACATCCTCGAAAAACTGGGAATCCACTATCACACGCAGCAAGGCGAAAAAGCCGACATAACCGTGATGGTGAGGGAAAAGATAGTGATTCCGCCGTTGCCCAAAAATATGCACCCGGAACATCACACCGGCCGAAGAAACCAGAGAGCGCAGGACTTGCAGAGAAATTCGGAAATTGCAAGGAAGCGGTATTCGTGGACGCGGCCAGATACGCGCGAAGGTGTGGTTACGTGGCCGCGGTGGTCGACGGTAAAGGGACATGCATGACGAGCGTTACGGTGCAAACGCCAATGACCGAGACGGCCGAGGAGGTGGCCATAGCACTCGCGGTGGCGACCACTGAGGCCGAAGTAGTAATTAGTGACTCGCAAGCAGCGATACGCAACTATGCGAACGGTCGTGTCTCCCGCGAGGCGCTGCGAATCCTAATGACTAACGAAGACAAAATTCGGGAAAAAAATGACACTTTCGTCATATGGACCCCCGCACACACACAAACCCCGCTGGCCGGCAACGAGGCGGCGCACGCGGCGGCTCGAGCACTCACGAACCGAGCCGTTGCGAACGCCGACGCCGCCTCGGACGAAGTTCCACGCGGGGGGGAGTGGGAGTGGGGGGACCGCATGACTAGTTACCACGAAATAACGCAGCACTATAAGCTAGAAAGGCGAAAGTACCCTCCGCCACACAACAGGTTAAATAAAAAACAGGCAGTTGCGTGGCGACAACTGCAAACATATACTTATCCGAATCCAGTTCTCTTTAGTCTCTGTTACCCTGATCTGTATTTAACAGAAAAATGCAAGGTTTGCGATGAAAGGGCGACACTTTCACATATACTATGGGAATGCTCGAGTTTAGATGAAAGCAACGATGAAACCACGAAGAGGCAGTTTCGGACCGCAGGACACGCTGGGAGGGGGCTCTGCTCAGCTCCTCATTCGAACAACAACTGTGGGCCGTCCAGCGAGCCGAGGAAGCCGCCCGAGCCCAAGGGCTCGTGGCCGACGCCTAGGCCCGCCCCAAATCAACTTCGCTGGACTTCATAAATAAAGTTATTCTTCTTCTTCTTAAATTGGATGGAAACACTTCCGTATCTGTGACGTCATCATGCAACCATGTTTCAGTTAGTATCACCATGTCAGCACTGATATCATTTATGAAACTGCAAAGTTCGTCGCGTTTAGGAATTATGCTTCGTATGTTAGTAAATGCAATGTTTATGTTTAGAAATGCATAGGACGGATACACGTGTTACACGAGGCGGAATGATTGCAAACCCGTCATGTTCTGCCAACAGAGGTGGCTTCCGATGATGCGCTGTTTTCAAATGTAATGACGGGTGAGTTCCGAAGTTCTGTGACTTTATCAGTTTTCGCGTCATAGAAGTATGATTTATTTCCAACAATAAGTTTGTCTACCCTCAGCCTTAAATGCACACTTTTGTGGCCGAATGAATTTGAGTAATTTAGAGCGTGCAAGGCGAGTTGGCTGCTGCAAAGTCTTCTCTTACGGCGAAGGTCGTATCTTTGAGCTTAATTTCCGCAGCTCAAAATCTTTTCTTTTGTTTTAAAGTGAGCGAGCTTTATCATGATTGGCCTATTCTTGTCTGGGGCAAATTTTCCGATCCGATGAGCACGTTCTATGGCTCTTGGTTCGAGCGTAATATCTAGTTGGGCGGAACAAAGTTTATGACGTTAAGCTCTGATTCTTCCCAAGTTTCTTTAACAGAGTCCTCAATACCTAAAAAGAGAAGGTTATTGCGGCGCAGTCGATTACTAGCGTCGGTGTTAGCAGCTTTAGCGTTTCAATTTCATGTTTGATTTTGGCGGCGTCATCGGGTACGGCGCCCGATGAGGGTTCGATTGGACTGTTTCTAGCGCTGAGATTCGGTTTGTAGTGCTGAGAGAACTGTTTCATGGTTAGTTTGTACTGCCTTGAGCTGATTAATATCTTCACGAATGGTTTTAAAACGGTTTGCTCGATCTTCTTGATAGCGTCTGATAGAGGTTCTATCTGTGCTTTAGGTGGACCGGGGTTTAGTTCCACATCCCCTGATAGTAAGAGTATCAACTGTGACAACAATTGTAGGGTGAACACATTGTAACAAGTACATAGCCAGTTGCGCAATTTCAAGTCGTAGGGGCACGACACCGTGACAAGGAAGTAGTTATTGGTATAGTATTGTTTAGAATGGGTAAGGTAACCAACCTGGAAGGTGAGCAGCGGCGTGAACATTTTGCGCCAACCGGGTTGTGCCAGATCGGTAAGATGCGTCAGGCTCAGCGAGGAAATGAGCTCCTGGAGCTCTCTGCCCCGGGCCTTCTCGTAGTGGTAACCCCAGTGAGGCTGGGGCATTAAAGTCCCCGACAATCACCAGTGGTTGTCGTGCCGCTATACGCAGCGCCCGATGGAAGAGATGCGCAAACGAAGCCCTCGCAAGGCGAGAGGGACAGTACACGTTTAAGATATGTATTGATGGTGGCCCTCCGCTGAGACAGCACTGATATCATGCAGTAGTCGTAAGGAAGATGCAGATCGAGGTCAATCTGTATCGCCGTGTAAGCTTTATGCACGAGGAGGCGTGTGGTGGTGGCCGCCTACATAGGAGCAGTATCCAGAAAGGGATGGAGCAGGGCCAGATTCTTGGATTGGTGCCAAGACGGCCGGCTGAGAACCAAGTGAGCTGAGGAAAAGGGAAAGATGCGAACGCTTTCGCCTGTTCCCGAAGCCTCCAGGGTTTCACTGTATGATCTCGAATTTAGACGCAATGTTTGAACGGGACGTACAATTGGTAGCCATCGTGACTGTCTTAGGTTTTATATTTGGTCCTCCGTGTCTCGCTCGGAATCCTCAAAGGCAGGGAGGGGCACAGAGGCCGGATTGTCCGACGGCGGTGTGGTGGTAGCCACCTTACGACGACGCCGTGAGCTGTACCCTCACTGCTCACCGAGCAGGAGCGGGAACGCGATGGCTTGGGTTGAAACTGGGCGATTGCCCAAGATTGAATTGCCGGGTAACCTCTACTACTGTGCGTTGGACCGAGAAGCTGGTGAGGAGGTGATTAATCGAAGCTTCGACGCGCGTGAGGCGTTCCTCTACGCGCGGGGCGCGCTCTTCGCTAGGGAGAGTTTGGTTAGCGGGCAAGAGAACCGGAGGTGCCCCAGGAGCCTCAAGAGCTTCTGAGTAGATGTGGCACCGGTTCCGAGTGCTGGAGTACACATGGCTGCTTGAACCGGCAGTTCAATAGGAGGGGGCTTAGCGCGAGGACTAAGCTTGGACGTAGCTGGCGTAGCCGCCTGGACAGAGGAGGCAATACCGGATGGCCTTGCAGTACACTGTGTTTGGGGTTCAAGTCGCTTATTTAAGAGTTCGAGTTGTTTAGTTAAAAGAGAATTTTGCTTTTGAAGTGCCACCACTTGCTGGCGAGGGCCGCAAGTTCGGGAGAAAGAGGATTGACAGAAGGGGTGAGAGAGGCTTAGAAGCAGCATTCCTGCCCAACTGCTCACCTGAGGTACCGCCGCTGGTGCTTCGAGCGGTGGGAATGCTCTAGTGTCGGCGTGGAGAGGTGGAGCCGAATGATGCAGGTTGGTGCTGCTGTCTGGCTGCGACGAACATGAGGTGGTCCCCTCGAGGAGATGTTGAGGGCTGCTTGCGTTTCCGATATTTTCGCTATTTGCCGTGCAGCCACTGGTCCCAGTCTCATGGGCGCCGTGGCCGAGGAGGCACTTGGGTGGGCAGTCGTGGGCATTGAGACCTGCAGGTGCAGGGGTTCCACATTTGGCACACTGGTTGGAGCGGGGTGAGGACACTGAGGTGGTCGATGACCGATGGTACCGCACTTGGTGCAAACAGGGACCGTTTTCTTGCAGGCGCGGATATACGTCGCCACGCGGTAGTAGAGAGAAGAAGCGGGGTAGCTTCGTGCCCTCGAAAGTCACCACCGCCGCCGCGGAATCTCCGAGTTTGCGGACCGCAAGGATAGTACCTCGAGGTCAATGCAGTTCTGACTTATCTTCTCCAGGGGTTCAGCAGGGTTATGTTGATGACTCCCTTGCATGTATCCCCTGTGCCTTGGCGTGGCCCCGAACGGGCCGCTGCTGATCCCCCACTTGCAGCTGGAAGTCCCCAAGGAGTCGCTGTTCCATAGGCAAAATGGTGGTGCTACAGACCAAGATGTTTTGTTCCCAGATTGGCCACACTTGAATTGCGTGGTAGTCCGGTCGCCGAGGTAGCTGCGGATGGCGTCGCCCACGCGATCGGCCGGGACGTATGTGCGTAGCTCGCAGGGAACGCGAGGTTTCACTGCTACGATGTAGTCGTCGCGAGAGAGGCGAGGAGTTTGACGCGGACGCCACTTGCGTTGCTTCGCTGGCTGCGAGGACGGAGCAGAGGTAGGCACACCACCGGAGGGATGGCGCGCCGGCGTTCCTTGCAAGGCTGGGGAATGGTTGCCCGCTGTGACGTCTCGTTGTTGTTGAGACGCAGACTTCGATTTCGCTTGCTTGCGTTGCCACAGTCTCACCATGTAGTAGTAGTAGTAGTAGTAGTAGTAGTATTTTTTATTTACAGTAAGCCGGATACAGAGCTCACTGCAGGGGCAAAGGGCTAAAGGCGAACAGCCTGACAAAGGCCCTTGTCCCTCCGCAGTCCGTGACAGTGGAAAGCTTAAACAATATATATATTCAATACATTGGTTTCAAGCAACCTGAAATTGTAAACACAAAATTCAAACATAAATAGCATAAGAAGTTTGCATAACACATTTTAAGAATTAGAGGTCACTCTCGTTATAATTCACAACTAAACATATCAATGAAACAACTCAAAAACAGACACAAAATGCATGCGGATACAATTAATTCCGCTGTATACACTCGTATAATTGACATAGAAGTTTATGAACAATTTAAGCATTTGCAGAGGCATGAGACTCCATTACGTAGTTTCGATAGTGTAGACCAGTGGTATGAATAAGTTCTTATTTGTTTCTTGAAAGTCGCACTACTAGCCCTAAAGTTCAATTGATCTGCAAGGGTATTTAAAACCTGAGGTACCTGGTAAGCAATACTTTGTTTTTTATACTTGGTTCTTATTCTAGGAGCTCGTTTCTTTTGTTCGCGCATACTGTAGTGCGGTCTTTCGGTGCAAACTTTCTTCATATAGCTTAGTCTTTTGTATTAACTGAAGTAATTTAAAATGATATATTGATCAATTCTGAGTATGGAATGTGTAATGATAGTGGAGCAGTGCGCAAGTCTTGTAGATTCCCCCTGTAATTTTCAAAGCAGCGCAATATTTTCTTTTGTATTGTTATTAACTTATGGTAATTCCCTTGTGATGTCGTTCCCCAGACTAACATCCCATAACTTACTTTAGAATGGAAGAGTGCATAGTACATACTTATTTTAACCTCAATGGGATTAAGTGCATTGTTCTGAAAAAACAACCAACTATTCGCACTAATGCGGTTATCAGATGATTTACATGTGTATTCCAGTTTAATTCCTCCTGAAACCATACACCAAGAAACTTTTGTTCCCTAAAATGTGCGATGCAATTCCCTTCGAATTTTACAGCTATGTTACTAATAGGTTTGTTTATAGGTCGGAATATTATATAGGTTTTTTTTTAGTTCAAGCGCAGTCCATTTTGCCTTAACCAATTTGAAAGATTGCTTAGATAATTATCTACACTGACCTCAAGTGATATTAGATTGTCTGATGAAAAGAAAACATTCGTATCGTCAGCGTACATTATAAGTTCAGGAGAATGAGGTATATCGACAATATCATTTATATAGACAAGGAACAATAATGGCCCCAGTATAGACCCTTGGGGGACTCCT